CACAGAAGGCAATCCCCCACCCCATCATCAAAAAAAACCCAACCTGCCTAGCCCTGTCACCTGGCCAGCTATCAGTCCACGCAGTGGAGACCCGCTCAGAGGCCTGGAAATGTCAAAGCCTCACCTCAGCAAAAATGTCCTGAGGGGTCACTAACTTCCCCAGCCCTTTTAACAGCTGGCTGCAGGTTTTCTCGCTACGCTTGGCAGGGGAGGGGGGAAAACCCTTTCCCACATCAGATTTCAGGCACCACTCCTGAGATCCGCGGAGGGAGCAAGGCCCGATGGGGGAGATTATTTACCAGGGTCACAAGACAAACATGAGAGTTTCCCAGCGCAACCGGTACTTCCGGACTGTGCAGAGCCAGCCGCACATGCACCTCAGTGAGCAGAGAGGTCAGAATGCAGGCGCCGTGAGGCCGAAGGGCGGCAAAGCACTCTCTCCTCTGCAATGAGAGCACTGCAGCTCCCAACTGGAGTCCTGGGTCCAGCAAAGCTGTTCCCAACGCCACAGGTCCCCCTCCCTCCAGCAAAATGCTCCTCTTCTCCAGACTGACAGGTGGGCTGTCCCCACTTCCCCGTCTCCTTTCATGTAAAGGCATCAAACTGTTTCTTCATGGTTTCAAAAATACACAGAGGTGGGGGGAGGAACGGCCATCCCTCCGGTGCTGTAAAATGGCACCTAACACTATTTCACTCTCATGCCATGTCTGGGTGTAGGACTGACGCACAAAGAAACAAACACTGAACACGACTGACGTCTGCGGGGGGGACCTGAACCAATCTCCTTTTCTCTTCATTGTTGAATGTATGTTTGAGTTCTCAGGATCTGGGGTGAAATTCCTGCGGACGGGGTGCACTGGCCTCACCTGCACAGGAGGCTTTACGCTCGCTGAAGGCTTTTCAGGGCCAAGAATTCTATTCTAGGCCAGGGTCACCTTCCAACTATGAAAAACTGAATGGAGAGTTAAGGGTTAAAAGATTTTCAAGAAAAAATCCAAGTCCGCAGTATGATTTGGGATTAATTTGATTCCTCATCGCTGCCATTCACCCTCCAATAACGTTTCCCTAACTAGATTTACCTGTTCCCTTGCCAGCTGCTAATGTCAGAGCCTGGATTTGCCACTTAGTAAGAGGGGCAAATTCAGCCTGATAGGCCTACATTAGCCAGCCTCCTCCACACGTCACCTGGCTCTGTTAGCCTCAGGCAAGCTACTCCCAGGAGCTGCACACAATATCCTAGTTTAGAACACAATCATCAACAGGCATCTTGGACGGTTCGATAAGCCGTGGCTTCATTTAGCTCCAGTAGAGGGAGTTTTCTAACAAGAGTGCTCTTGCGGTAGGGCCTGTTACGGGACCACCCCTGGCGGCTCTACACACTTTCACAACTACCTAATTGCAAAGGAAAAAAAACTGACAGGCAGCTCCCCAGCTCAGGTCTCTACAAATCCCAGGAGGGTGGAAGCCCAGGGCTTCAGCTTCAGTCACCAGGAGTTGGCGAGTGAAAAAACTATAAACCATCGTCTCAAAAGGAGGAGACACCCAGCAGCACCCTTCCCTCCTGCGGAGGATGGAATTTAGCAGGAACAATACTCCCTGCTTGGAAGCCGGTTAAAAGTGGCAGTGGGTAGCCCCCAGTCTAGAGAAAGAGCATCCTGCGGACAGTCACTCTGCACCAGCGGGGCAATTAGCTGCTCCAGATCCCATCAGCTCAGCTGCTTCCATTTGCTATTGTGTGAAACTTATTTTACCAAAAGCTTCTGTTGACAAGTGTCTCCAAAGGGAAGTGGAAATTCCACAGCAGTTCACAGTCTACAGCTAAAAATATCAGTTTGCTTATGGGGGGAAATTGGTGCGTGCTGTTTTGCAGGACCATTTATTGAAGAACTAGCTCTTGTATATTTCAGATTCAAGCTGCAAAGGAAGGGAATTTATCTGGGAAGCTATCTAGTGACTCTCTCCACAATAACCCATTTTAAAAAGGTTTACATGTTTCTGAAGGAGAGAGAACGAATCAAAATCCATTCACAGCAAAGAAGAAAGGGAGATAAATGTTGGATAAAACTCACTTCTTTTGTTAAAAAGGAAAAAAGGGTAGAACTGAGTGTGTCACAGAGCGTGATGCAGGCGTACAATACATGTACACACCTCTAAAGCCATTTCATCACATCATTTAATTTTAACATTTGTAAGATCAAAGCAAATGTTCTGGAAAATTCCTAAAAAACACCAAGTGCGTCAAACATGCTGCCGTGTGCTCGAAAGCTGACGTTTTTAATTCTGAGAGGCAGACGCCCACCACGGAGCCATTGGCCTCTAACAATCGCACACTTTCACAACTGGGGACAGGCCTCAAGGTTTTACAGTTCAGAAACTCCCCCAAGCAAATCCGAGGCAATTATTCTGGATAACAAAACTCAATGCGCACACACAAAAAGCCATAAGAATGACAGGATTTTCTGCTCTCACTTTATTCCCTAGCAAGCCAAGTGTCTGATTCACCGCTGCACTACGCTGGTGTAGCCCAGGTAGTACCCTGCTGTTAACAGGCCCTAAAGCTTTAGCTGAACTTTTGTTACTGGGTGTTCGGAAGGACTTTAATGCAGACACATCAGTTCAGTAATTCCCCAGCTCTGCACCATCGCTTTGTGTATTCAGCCTCCACAGTTTCTGCCTCTAGGTAAACACTGGTAGCTGAAGCTTTTCCACTTCATTATTTCATCCCTTGCTCTGCCACCTCCAACAGCTGCCCTGCCAACCAGTTCGCTGCTGCTGCTGCTCCTGCAAAGGGAAAGACCCTCTTTCTCTCTCAAGACAGAGGGACCTTTCGGCAGCACACACTTCTCCCAGGACAGGAAGCCCCCAGTGAGAACTTCACAGCTGCATCTCGCACAGCAGAGCTAGACCAGCTCCCGGGGGTAAACTGCTAAACCCACAGCTATAAATTAAGCTAACATGCAAGAGCAAGGGAATTCTGACTTAAGGTTTCATACAGAACGTAACCTCTCTTCTCATTCTGAATCCAAGAGTCATCAATAGGAAAAAACAAACAAGAGCCTTAATTAACCTTCCCAGAAGGTTTCTAGCACAGGCACCCAGCCACGTCCTGGCTCTCAGCTGCATCAGTGTCGCCCTGGGAGTCCAGAAAGGTTTTCAAAAGTAAATTTAAAGGTGCACCCACATTTTTGTGCTAAATGCCAACATTTTATCAGCACTGCTACAATTAAACCACTTGTGTCGATGCCCGTTTAGTCTCATAAGGCTCTCTGTGGTTTAGGAGGGCTGTATTTATGGCTTCCTGCATGATCTCAGCCAGACACAGACAAAAAACAAACAAACAAAAACCCAAAACCATTTGTCAAAGGGAAGAGAGTAATGAGAGAAAGGAACCTTCCTGCAGCACATTCCTCACGAAGGTGAGGTCTCCAGTCTTGAGAGCTTTTCCCCCCTTTCCTTACTAGCCTCACCTTGCACCTAAGAACTGGTTTTATTATCACGCAATTGTATCCATGATACAATCAAAGCAGGAAAGACGCTGAGTACAGTACAGCAACTGAACGTAGCGTAGAGCAGCACTCCTAGGAGACAGTACCAGTGCAAGCTCAAATCCATCTAGGTTTTAATAGAAGGATAAGAAGAAGTTATACGAAGGGGTTACTGTGTATTAGTGTTGGGCCAGACGTGGGGAACAACTGGGCTGGTGTGAGGGTGCAGCGAAGCACAGTGCTGTGCAGAGAGGACACAAACTCCAGTATCAGAATGCAGCCAGTGACATTTCTAAAGTTCCAAGGAACAAGTCGGCATTAGTGGGAAAGCCAGCCGTCATGAGGGCACACAGCTTGCAGAGTGGGTCTACAGCCACACACAGGCGTTAACAATAATAGACGTACGTGAAGGGTGCCCACGCCGCTGAGGGAGATTTGTTTGGCCTGGTACGAGGGGTTAGAATAACCAGGAGTCACACATTTCATAAAACAAGGAAAATGCAGGTTAGCTGTCAGGAATGGCTCCTAGAGGAGGTGCTCTTGCTGCCTAGGAACAGTCTCCCCAGGGAAATGGTTCAAGCCCAGGCTCTGGAGACATTTACAACTGAATTAAATAAAAACAGCACGAGTTTGCGGAAAAATCCCACCCCTGCAGGCAGCTGCACCCTGTTGTTTCAGCTCGGTGGGTTTGGGTTTGGTGAAGTGGGATGAAAATAGAGTCTCTAATCCTCAGGGACTAGCCCCTTATAATACAGTGTAGGGCATAGACCCTGCATTGGTCCTGGGGGGCAAGGAGAGGGAGAAAGGACCCAAGAGACCACCCCATCTCTAGTTTCTGTGGGAACAAAGCTGTTGTCAGTTCAAAGGTCCAACTTTCATAGGTCTTAGAAGAGTCCCAGCAAGGCAAATTGTAGGAAACTATGAAAATACCCACCCTGGCCTCCCCCAGTAACCCATCACTCTGTCCCCTCCTACAGCCTGAGGCGGAGAAGAGTGTTACTAATTCTGCTGTATTACTTTAAAACACCTCACCTATCTGGGCAACGCCACGATTCCCTATGTGGGAGAAAGACACAGATTTGCAGCTGGGTCTGGTGTGTGCCCCACACGGGGAAGATCAGCAGGCAGGCTGCTATCATCACCCCATGCCAGCACATCAAAGCTGGCAGGCTGCCTCCTCCTGGGGGCAGCTGTCATGCCCTAGTTAGGGAACAAGACAGGGTCTGGATGGGGCTGCTGGAGCAGGGGGCTCTGCAAACCTGGGTGGGGAGCAATGGGGGGGATGGGACAGAGCAGGAGAGGGAATGGAGAGAGTTGGGGGACCCAACAGGAGGAGTGGTGTGAGGGAAAGGGGATTCCAGCAGGCAGGAGGGGAAAATGGGGATCCCAGCCTGGGAGGGAGTCCTGACTACTGAATCCAGGATCCAACATTCTCCTGAACATTTACCAGCCAAGCCACAAAATCTCCCCTCCCGAAATCCCCGGCGCCCCCATCGGGCCTGTCTGCCCCCTCACCTGAGGTGTCCCACATGTTGAGCTCAATGCGCTGCTTGTCGATCTCGAAGCTCGCCGTGTAGTTCTCGAACACGGTGGGGACATAGTTCTGGGGGAGGAGACGGGACAAGTCTGGGTCAGCAGTCCCTGCGCCGGCAGCCCCAGGGAGCTGAGCGGATCCTGCCCTGGCGTCAGCACCGGGAGCTGATCACGCATTGTAACCGTCCCTGACGGACCCCTGCCCACATCCGGCAGCACCCCCAGCCCAGACACCAGCTCCCCCAGTCACACCTCAAATCTCCCACCCAGACCCCCAACTCCATTCATCCCCCACCGCTCCCCCAGACACTGCCACACACCCAGCCCAGCCCCCCCAGCTGCACCTCAATTCCCCACCCAGACCCCCAACTCTCCCAGCCAGAACCCCAGTCCCCTTCATCCCCCACCACACCCCCAGCCCATCCTCCCGGCTCCCCTGGCCACACCCCAGCCCCCTCCACCCAGAGCCCCAGCCCCCCCTTCATCACTCTCCACACCCCCAGACCAGACTCCCATCTCCCCCAGCCACACCCCCAGCTTGGACCCCCTTCAGCTCCTAAGGGCACCCCTGTCCCCTTCAACTCCCCACCACGCCCCCAGCTCATATCAACCCCCAGGCCAGACCCCCTGCTCCCCCAGCCGCACCCCAGCCCCCTTCATCCCCCACCACACCCCCGGGCCCCCTTTCAACCCCCACCACACCCCCGGGCCATCCCCCTTGCTCCCCCGGCCGCACCCCCAAATCCCCCAGCAGAGCCCCCCGGCCCCGCAGCTTCCCCCCCAAGTCCCCCGGCCGCACCTCGGGGTAGCTGTCCTTGGCGAAGACATGCAGCAGCGCCGTCTTGCCGCACTGGGTGTCCCCCACCACCACGATCTTGCAGCGGGCCCCGCTCTCCATGGTGCCGCTACGCGCCCCGCATCGCAGCGCCCGGCCCCGCTCCGGACCCTGCGCCCGGCGCCCGGGCCGCTTTAGCCGGGACCAGCCCCGCGCGGCCGCGCCCCCGGCTCCCCCGGCTCCAACCAGGCGCGGAGCCGCCGCCGCCGCCCCGCCCCGAGCCCCGCCTGCGACCGCCTCGCTCGGGAGCCGCGGGCCGGAGCCGGGCGGCCGGAGCTCGGGGGCAGCGCCCGGAGGGGCTCGGTTACGGGGTGGGGGGCGTCGCTCCTCCCCGCCTCTGAGCCCCCAGCCCGAGCCCAGCTTTCCTCCCTCAGCCCCCAATCCATCCCTGCCCCCCAACCCAGCCCGAGCCCAGCTTTCCACTCCCAGCCCCCAATCCATCCCTGCCCCCCAACCCAGCCCGAGCCCCCAGTTCATCCCTGCCCCCCAGTCCCCAATTCATCTCTGCCCCCAACCCAGCCCGAGTCCCCAATTCATCTCTGCCCCCCATCCCCCCAACCCAGCCCGAGCCCCCAATTCATCTCTGCCCCCAGCCCCCAATTCATCTCTGCCCCCCATCCCCCCAGGTTAGCCCGAGCCCCCAGTTCATCCCTGCCCCCCAGTCCCCAATTCATCTCTGCCCCCAACCCAGCCCGAGTCCCCAATTCATCTCTGCCCCCCATCCCCCCAACCCAGCCCGAGCCCCCAGTTCATCCCTGCCCCCCAGTCCCCAATTCATCTCTGCCCGCAACCCAGCCCGAGCCCCCAGTTCATCCCTGCCCCCCAGTCCCCAATTCATCTCTGCCCCCCATCCCCCCAGGTCAGCCTGAGTCCCCAGTTCATCCCTGCCCCCCAGTCCCCAATTCATCCCTGCCCCCCAGTCCCCAATTCATCTCTGCCTGCAACCAAGCCCGAGCCCCCAGTTTATCTCTGCCCCCCAGTCCCCAATTCATCCCTGCCCGCAACCCAGCCCGAGCCCCCAATTCATCCCTGCCCCCCAGTCCCCAATTCATCTCTGCCCCCAACCCAGCCCGAGCCCCCAATTCATCTCTGCCCCCCAGTCCCCAATTCATCTCTGCCCCCAACCCAGCCCGAGCCCCCAATTCATCTCTGCCCCCCAGTCCCCAATTCATCTCTGTCCCCAGCTCAGCCCGAGCCCCCAGTTCATCCCTGCCCCCCAGTCCCCAATTCATCTCTGCCCCCCATCCCCCCAGCTCAGCCCGAGTCCCCAATTCATCTCTGCCCCCAACCCAGCCCGAGCCCCCAGTTCATCCCTGCCCCCAGTCCCCAATTCATCTCTACCCCCATCCACCCAGCTCAGCCCGAGCCCCCAATTCATCTCTGCCCCCCAACCCAGCCCGAGCCCCCAGTTCATCCCTGCCCCCCAGTCCCCAATTCATCTCTGCCCGCAACCCAGCCTGAGCCCCCAATTCATCTCTGCCCCCCAGGCCCCAATTCATCTCTGCCCCCAAACCCAGCCCGAGCCCCCAGTTCATCCCTGCCCCACAGTCCCCAATTCATCTCTGCCCCCTAACCCAGCCCGAGCCCCCAGTTCATCCCTGCCCCCCAGTCCCCAATTCATCTCTGCCCCCCAACCACCCAGCTCAGCCCGAGCCCCCGATTCATCTCTGCCCCCCAACCCAGCCCGAGTCCCCAATTCATCCCTGCCCCCAGCCCCCAATTCATCTCTGCCCCCCATCCCCCCAGCTCAGCCCAAGCCCCCAATTCATCTCTGCCCCCCATCCCTCCACGTCAGCCCGAGCCCCCCGATTCATCCCTCCCCCAGCCCCCAATTAATCTCTCTCCCCAGCCCCCCAGCTCAGCCCGAGCTCCCAATTCATCCCTTCCTCCCCAGCCCCCAATTCATCTCTGCCCCCCAACCCAGCCTGAGCCCCCAATTCATCCCAGCCCCCCAGCTCCCAATTCATCTCTGCCCCCCAACCACCCAGCTCAGCCCAAGCCCCCAATTCATCCCTTCCCCCAGCCCCCAATTCATCTCTCTCCCCAGCCCCCCAAATCAGCCCTTCCCTCGATACCCCAATTCATCTCTACCCCCCAGCCTCCAACTCATCCCTCCTCCCCAACCCTCCCAGCTCAGCTCTCCTGCTGGCCCCCCAACTCATCCCGCCCCCCCCTCGACTCATACCTCTCCCCAACCCCCACAACTCATCTCAACCCATCCCTCCCCCAACCTCCCAGCTCAGCCCCCTTCCACACAGTCACTGGGACAGCCCCGAGGGCTGGGCCCGGAGGTGCCGGGTTCTGCAGGGGCTGCGTTTCAGCCAGTAACTCGTTGCCTCTTGGTTCCCCTTTGCACTCGGCTCGCTGGCCCCATGCTGCGGAGTTTGGGTCGGGGCTGAGTAAGAACTAAGGGGGGCGGGGGAGACAGGCTGAATCAATTTGTATAGTGTGGGGGCTGAGAGCCCTTGAACCAAACTGTAAACCCTGCATGTGATGGAAACCACTTCAAGCCGGGTTCCAGCGCCCATGGGCTGAATTGAACTTGATCTGGGGGCACAGGAGACATCTCAGCTGCTCGCTTAATGCACTGAATGTTTGTAGGGTTACACCACCCCAGAGCTGGGCTCTGCTGTGCTGCCCTACAGCTACCAGGGGGAGCACCCAACTCTGCTTTCTGGGGGGCCTGCAGTTAATTCCTCCCCCCGTTTGTTTTTTGGGGTATTTTTTAATTTCTCGGCAATAAGGCAGGTTTGATTGGAATGGGATCTATTATAATAGCTCCAGGCAGAGGCCCCAGCCAGGTGTGGCACCCAGTCAAGGCAGGCTCTGTACAGACAGGCAGCCTAAGCTGCTGACCTGCCAAGATTTGTGCCTATGCTTACTGAGATGCGGCTAGTAGGACTACTGCAATGTGTAAAGTTAAGTGTGTGCCTCAGTCTTTGCAGGATTGGGGCCTGAATAGACGTGATTAGAATTCAGCAGGCCTTGCTCTGGCAAGCTTTAGCAGAGACACTGCTGACATGAGCAAGGTCCTGATCCTGCCAGAAGAACTCTGCAGACAAACCCTAGGCCCACACATGGCCACACCCACATAAAGGGGGCCCTGCTGCTCACACAGGATCACGGCCTACAAATCCCCAATGCATCTCTTGCCATTAATCTGTAATGGGTGGATTAGAGAAGCACACCGTTCATCATTAACTGTTATTGATAGCACACTGTGGGTGACTTAAGTGTTTTACAAATAATAATAATGGTTTTTCCCTGGTGCAAATAATGTAGCTCATCAGTCAGTGAAGGTGTTGTTTCTCCCAGGCTGTGGATACTGATATCTGTGCACTGGCCCAGAGCTGGTGCTAAACTAACCTAGTAATAAGGACCCGCCAGCATCCGCCTGCAACCAAACTTCTAGCAGCTCATTAAATAGCAAGATATGCTGTCTGAGCTGCCAGGTCCTTTTCTGGCTCTGAGCTAGCCAGATGGTTGTAACCAGTTCTGGGGAAGCCTTTGGCACATCCCAGAGCACCTCTCTTGCCTATGTCTAAAGCTAAGAAAAATTCATATCCGGGTGCTCACCATAAGGAAAGCATGAACGAATACACAGGTATCGCCAGAGCAAAAATCAGAAAGCCAGACCTGAGCCTGCATGGGTCAAGGGTCTTTGCCCCTTTTTGCCAGCCTGTTGTCTGGGTTCAACGGGGGGCCTGGTGAAATTGCACTTTCAATAACATTTGTGAGTACTTGTGAAAAACAGGAGTTTTCACAGATATTTGCAAATCAGGGCTTGGTTGTGTTGAGGGAGGGCCACCGGTAAGCCAAGTGAGAGGAGTCATGTGGTGCCCAGGCCATGTGCACTGGGGTGAATTTCACCCGCGGTGCAGTGCTGACCTGGCTTTAATTGAAAGTACCTTTGTATGTTACAATGGAGGGTTTCTTTCTGTAGATCACATAGGGTGAGAACTGTGATTGTCAGCTCTTCGGAGCAGGCTCTGTCTTTTGGGTTATGTTCATGCCTGGGGCACTACCATAATGCAAATAATAACAACACTAATGAAAGGTACCAAAGGGCCTGGAAAGCATCCCAGAGGTCAAGGCTGTTCACTCTCACCTAGCGCTGTTCCCACTGCGTCACCCCAGCATGTGTTAGCCCTTAGTCAGGAGCAGAGGTGGTGGGGGATGTTTTGTTCCCGTGAACATTTTCAGCAAAAATTTTAAACTTCATTTTCATTAAAATTTTCTTTAAAAAACAACCACCACCCCCCGCAGTTTTTAGACTTTTTGTTTCTGTTTTCAGTTGCCAAAAAAGTTTGTCAGTTCATTGTTCACCTCCAAAATTCTGTCGAAAGCAGACATTTCCCACTGCGACAAAAACACCATGTCTTCACTGAAAAAAAAATGGTGAATGAAGAATGTTGACTAGTTATACCCAAGAGTCTAAAACCTCTGCATTATTTAATGAAGAGCATCAAGTAATATCTGCAAAGACAGAAGTCTGGTCTGCTCGCCACTTATACATGCTGCTCTGCCTCCAGGCAGATTCACAGGCCTGGTCTGAGCTTCCACAGCCCTCTGCAAAGAGTTTGGTAATTTTAGCTCCGCAGTGGAGAGGCATTTCTCACTATGTATGGACCGTGTGTCTATACATTACGTGCACCGATTTTAATTAGCAGAGTTATTGAAAGAGGAAGGGCTCCTTCTGTGCTAATATCTCACTGGCTGAGTTGCAGAAAGATTTACCCTAATGGCAAACTTTAATTTGTCAGCGACAGGCTGTCACAAAATGCTGTAAAAATAGAGATAACGAAGACACAGTGACTCTGAAGAAGTGGAAATAGAAATGTTTTGGCAGCGATGGCGGGGGGGGGAGGTTATTAATGGGCTGGTGGGGCTCATTTGTTATTCCTCAAAGCATGTTCATTTTTCATGAATAAATGTTGTGAATGGGACAGGGAGCGGGAGGCAAAGGACGGAGACAACACCAGGAAAGGTCTCTCTTCTCTGAGAGAGTCAGTGGGGCTATCGGTGCCCAAAGCTCTGAATTGCTCTGCCATCAGCTAATGAGTCTGTCCACCTGAGCACTGACTGGGACACATTTCCTCAGACTGGCTTGCACCTTGCAGAGCGGGCTACAGCTCAATTGC